CTGTCCAAGAACCCGATGCGTTCCCCTTGCTGTAGTCTCCAATGTGCGAGGCTTCTGATGGTTCTCCCAACAACGAAGGCGAACATCAACGGCACTAATGTTGGACCCTTAACATCTTAGCGCAGGCATTAGAATGACTTGGAGTTGTTTGCATCTCTTACTAGTTGTGAGAACTCAGAGACGAAGCCCCACATCGGCGGTAGACTCTTTATCTCTTGCCGGTTGTAGCGCATCAGAAACCAGATGTAGGCAACGATCACGGCAGCCATGAGAATGGAAAGAATATTGAGAGACACTTCCAAGGGTTTTGCTGATCCGCCTTCGAGTTTCCGTGATGGCCATTGCAGCAAAGTCGACTCGGTTGTGGGCGGTTTCAAGGATGTCTCATCGGGAGCTTCTTCCAAGGTTCTTGTCGGAGGGCGTGGCAACGAGCTGTCTTCTTCCAATACTGTTGGAGTGGTTGTTCCAGAGCTCATTGATCTTCTGTGCTCCTCGAGAGTCGCCATGGTGGACTGCGTCTGGTTGCCGTTTTGGATTGGGAATGTCTGACAGGGCTGGGTATCTTATCCGACCTCAGTGAACGAGGGGTGGTTACTGCTGATTCTTAACTTGGACTTCGTCTTTGCCAAGCCGGATAATTAAAGACATCCACGCACTTCCTGTAAGCCATCTCTCAGCCCCAAGAGTTGTGCCACAGCCATCTATGCAGCCTCAACTAGTATACCCTCTTAGGTTGGCGGAGGGTGAAACACCACGGCGAAAGTGCAACACAGAAGGCGAGGTAAGGCAGAAATACTGGCTTTGTAAACAACGAGGGTCTTCTCATTGGTATTTCGCAGGAAATGTGTAACATTTGGTTGGTTAGCCAAGTAGAGCGGCCTCCTGCTATCCTTGTGTAAGTTCGTAGTAATCATGGTCAAGCGATCTCTCCGTGTGGCCATCCGAGACGTCTAAAAACTTATCTGACCGCTAATGACGGGACGCTCCACTGTGAAAAGTTGACATTGTATGTTTTTGTTGGAGCACCATGTCTCCCTGCATTTTCACACTCATCTTATCATCAAATTACCCAATCTTCCTCCCTTTTACCATCGACAAAAAACTTGAGAGGCTCCACTCGCCCGCTGCCAGAGCTGAAACGCAACTATCGGTGCTGTTTGTGTATTCATCGGCCTCGCTCCATCCGCACTGGTCTGACTCTGCCAGGACTGTCCCAGCTCAGCAATAGGCGGAGAACCAAGTTGGCTGAGCCGTGGTTCGCTTCGATGTAAGTCGATGTGTCATATCTGATATCAGCGTCGTTCTGGCATATAAAACTCAATAATGCTGCTGAGTATCTCGAACATCCAGCAGCACCAAGGGATGGCTGAGTACTTTCTTTCTGTACTTGAAAGTTTTGGGAAACACAGGAGCGAGACTGTACTCGGTAGTTGACTTGCGGACTACCGATGATATTCAGCCTTAGTAGCGGACACCAGCACACTCGCCTTCCCTCGGCACCGGTGTTCGCGGCTTATTCGCTTGTCAATAATGTCCCAGCGTTTTGATAGTCCACATGGTCGACGACAGTCTCACCAGAACTTGAGGTGTCTAGTCGTCATTGCACCCATGCCATAAGCTTCTCGACATCTCCTTACAGTTCGTATGCAAGACTACCATTGGTTGTGGTGTGCAACTCTCACATAGTGCAGGTATGACCATCCCTTTTATATGCAGGAGAGGATAACGAAGACGTCAAGCTAGACCTGACGCTGTTTTCATATGGAAAACCCGGTGTTGAGCGGGTAATTGCCGACTGAGATCTCAATAGAACGGCTGTATACCCATATATTACCTACCAAGACACCCCATTTGATCTCCTTTTGCGTTTATGCCGAAGTTCCAAGAACCGGGATCAGTCTGTGACATTCAGGCACTCGGTCTCGGCCTGGCCACTGTTTGCGGAGGTATGCAAGGTTGGCGATGCGCTTTATTATCTTGGCGGTGTACATATGACCGCGCTGTTGCATCTCTTGTACAAGCAAGCCTCCCTGATCGTGGACATTTTGGGTGAACTTCCGTTGGATGGCTTTCGAATCGGCGACGAAAGGCTCAAGCCTACGTTGCAGACAGAAGGAGAAAATGGTGGTAAGAAGTAAAAAGCCCACAAACGGGTCGAATTCGAGATTATCAGGCTATTGAACAAGCCACAGGTGACGGACGACAGTGATCCAAGGCGACGATGGACATACCAAGTTGGTCATTTCTGACCAGACACATCGTCACATGCTGAGGCCAGTTCCTGCGACACATGGAAGTCCTCACTCGGAGCTGCTTGCCCCAGTCTGTCGTTTTTGACAACCGCTTCAGGGGGTGTCTGCCTAAACTGATCCCTACGGATTACGAACTACTTTTATATGAGGACTGAAGAGTGAAGTCATGGACGGTATGGGTGAGGTGCAAGTCTGACTCTATAGAGCCTTCTAGGATACATGAACTTGAACTACGGATCGCAGCGTATCGTGTTCGGCAACCTCCTCGGCAATACTATCTGCCATAGCTGTCTGTCAAAGGTCCTGTGGAGGAGTACTCTCATCGAATTAATTGACTTTCGGACTCAAGAGAAGCCAACGGGGCTGTATATACCGAAGAAAGACACCTTTTATTTGATAGGAGCACCGGAAAACGATTGAGGACCTCCAAGAGTGCTGTTATCTTGAGGTGGGTTTCCAGGTCAATTAGACGCATATTCCCTTGGCGGATGTCATATCCAGGCAAGCAACATGGGAACACATCTCCTACTGAACCAATCTCGAGGGAAACAAACCCAAACTCAGAATTAAGAGTAATTGGAAACAGAAAACGTACACACGCCCCTTATGGCGATGCCATCCTGCCGCGCGGGCTTGGCCTACGGCTGAGCTATGCATCTTCGGTGCAAGCAAACCACGGCATTCTTACACCCAAGTACCTACCCAAATTTTCAGGAGATGTTTTGGTTCGTGTTGAATGTGGCCGCGTCTCCTAAGTTGAATAATTCATTCTTAGTAGCCCAGCTTGATCACCATGCAGAGTCCACGACAAGACACCCACATCCTTTCCCCCACTGCGACCGCCAGTGTCCCAAGATCCAATACACCAACATATCCAGCCTCATTTACAGCACCAATGCGATTCCACATGGAGAATATGTGGATGACACCAACGAGAGGGTCAACTGACACCCACACATGAGAAAAGAGCTTCGGGATGGATTCAGCCCCGGCCGCCCCCTTTCACAGCAAAGAAACACAGGCTTTATAAGACTCACAGGCATACGCTCTATCGAGGACTGAGCTGCAGATAGGCCGAAGACGGCTCCAAAGTGTTTGGAACATTTACCTGGGGAAGCTACATGCCACCTCGCAATGCCCCAGAATTTCAAGATCACCAATCCTCTCCTCCCCAGCATGCCTAGATAGACAGTATAGGCAAGAAGAGACGAAAACCACAAGAGACAAGCGGCGACGAGTACTCATACCAAATCGATATGAAACCGCCCCAATCTCTACCGCTCGTTTCCTTTCGGGTCAACTCGCACCGGCTCAGATGCATCCTTGCGGAGTCGTCCTCGTCCTCGCTCAAGACCATCAATTGCTCCTCGGATAACCCTCCAGCGGCTGCGAAGAACCTGTCTCCTGCTCGAGGATCAGTCTTCAGGCCGGGTTATATACCCTCGCAACACCCCGAACCCTTCCCTCATCGATCACCCAGGAACGCCCACTCCCCTGTCCGAGGTCGTCCAAGAGTGATCCATCTAGACACCAACCATCCCGATACCCACCATAAAAGGCTCGTTCGGTTGTCATTTCGTTGGTGCGCCAACCCAACGAATTCTTTGTCAGCAGCTGCTTCCGAAGTGCAAACAGCACCGACTTCATGGTCCATACGCGCCACGAAAAGTAGTCTCCATGGTCCAAAAACCAAGCGCCGTCCACGTCCCAGGGACCGACCGAGAATACTTACGGGAACACACGACGCGAGACACGGGAAGACGCAAAACGACGCCGGCTCATGCAGATAACACAACAGATCAATCATCCTCTCCTTTATCATATCCCACAGTGTCAGGAAACACCATCGCTTATGATCCAGCAGATGCGGCTCGCACCTAGAGAATCAATCGCCCAAGTCGAAAGAGACATCACATTCTTCTAACTGGTAACTCTTAACCCCCCATCTTATAGCGTACTCGAAGGCAAGAGCCTAACATCACCGTCAACCCACCGGCATGTCAGTCACTGAATGGAAGCAAGTCACATGAAACGTTGTAGAGACCTTTGATTTGATCGAGAAAAATGCATTTCTTCATGTATTAAGGAGCCGCCCGCCCGCCCGCCCACACCATCTTGTCTCCCACGACAAGTTGTTCATCTACCGTACCAAGACACAGATAATGCAAGACTTTCATGCGGGAAGAGATTTTTTTCGTGCCCCGTGGTTGACCAACAAAAAACAGAAAAGCAAATGACCAAATGCCACTCGAGATCAACGAAGCCGCCAACGCCAATACCGGAAGTCCACGCAGGAAGAAGACGCGTGCCAGAAAAAAATGGGGAGATGTCTTGAAGAAAGCCTGCACGCCAAAGTCACTCGCTTTTTGTATTCCGTCCCATCCCTATGAGCCCAGGGCAGGGACCTCGTTCAAGAGGTCGCGCCGAGAAACCAGATTGACGGGAAGCGACAAGATCTACCGTGGCCTTCTACCACCTCAGGCGGTGCAATCTGTGACAAGGAAAATATGCGACAAGAAAAGAAGAAACTCAGTGGACAACCTGCCAGACCGGAACGCCTTGTACGCTATGCTCTAACATGCTCAGTAAAACGACGAGAAATAAGACAATGGGTGGACAAGTCCATGCTCGTTGCAATGCCACATGCAATGCGCCAGAACGAGAATTCGAGAATGCAGCCCAAAGTAGAAGGGAACCTCAAGAGGGGGGTGGGGTATCATGAAGGGTATCATGGAAGAGGGACTTTTTTTAACCAAGGGTACGACCACTGTGAATGGCCGGGGGGTGGTGTGTGGTGGTACGGGGTGTTGTAGGGCTAGGCCGTACGGTCGAGGCTGGGCTGAAATCGGGTACGGTGTATGTCGGCGGGCGAGTGGGATCCCAGCCCTCCTCACTCAGGACACTGAGGTAGCCGTTTCCAACCTTGTCCCGCAACGCCTCGATCTTCCGACGATACATCTCTCCGCTGACATCCCAGTCTTGGGAGTCCTGCGGAGCGTCGCGGGTGGTATAGATGGGAGGAAGCTCAGGCACAACGCTGGTATCAATCCGAGGTACCTCGGGTTGGGAAGTGGCTTTGCGGCTATCGGATAGTACCGCAGAGGGTAGCTGAGGAACTTCGGGAGCTTGAGAGATTCGATAGTTGCCATCAGACCCAGCCGCCGTAGCGGTGGCGTCTGCGGCGAGGACCTCGATATCCGTCGCAGGAGCTGGGGCAACAACTGGCGGGACGACCTTGGCGTTCGAGTCGGCAGTGGAAAGGTCCACTATCCTCCTCTTCGGTGTCTTGCGACGGCGGGTAGAGCTGGTATTTACCTCGCTCGTGACCGCCTTGGGAACGGGTCGCTCCTTGCGGAGGACGGACGCCTCCTTGGGGAGATCGTAGATGATGGCAGGCTTGCTGACGTCCACGGCGGGGATGTCGGCAGGAGGCGGCTTGACGACCGGGACAGCGGCAGGAATCGGAGTACGCTCGACCAGGTATCTCCTTTCCGAGTACGAGGGACCGGAGTTGTCAATGATAATGTCCTCCGTGTACCCCGGCATCTTACGGAAGAGGTTGAAGATGGTGATGCGGTAGTCCTTGTGTGTCCGGGTGAAGGGGTTGCCTTCGACCCAGATTTCCCGAATGTCGGGAATGCCGGTGAGTCTAGCAAGTTCCAAGGGGTCCGACAAGCGGTTGTCCCTGAGGTCCAGCCGCTCAAGAGGGTACAACTTCTCGACACCGGCGATTGACTGCAGCCGGTTGGCCCGGAGGTTGAGAGCTGAGATAGCCGGGAGTGGATTGCGCGTCAGGGAGTGGAGCCCATCAATCATGCAATGCGAGAGGTTAAGTGCGCGGAGGGCGGTAAGGGTAGCTAGACTATCGGGGATCTGGGTGAACAGATTTGACGACAAGTCCAGCGAGTGAAGAGTGTTTGCGAGCGGCGCTAAGCTGGCAGCGGGGATAGAGGTCATTGAGTTGTCCGCAAGACTGAGGTGCTTGAGGAATCGCCATTTGGACGCAGGCAGAATGCCCATGTTCAGGAGGTTGGAAGAGCTTCCACTGCGGCTGTGGTGCCACGAATCCGACAGGCTAGAGTTTGAGCTGCCAGAGCCAGAGCGGCGAACCTTGGGGCCACCTCTCATGTGAGACGGGTTGCGGGAGCTGGCGGGACGAGTGGGAGAGTTGCTACGAGGCCTGCCCTTGGGAGGCGACATGGCCTCGAAAGTATCTGCGCGGGCGATGGAAGGTCTCCTGCTTTCGTCGTACACGGCGTGGTCATGCATGCTGAGGGAACCGATACCGAGGTCACCAATGGAGCTGCGTGGCTCTGGTGAGCCCGGTGCGGATGTAGCCTTGTGAAGCTCGGCATGCGGGAGAGCCGGACTCCTCCGAGGGCTTGAACTGGCAGGCCATGGGGTGGTTGGCGATGACTGTTGCTTCGCACTTCTCCTACGCCTCTTGTCCATGTCGTCGAGTACGATATCGATCAGGATATCTGCGGGGTCCTCGACGCCGGCACGCTTCAGGGTGAGAGATCTCAACTGCTCGGCCATCTTGTCCCAGCCAAAGAACTGTCTAAAATCGATGCTGTTAACCTCGAGGGCTTGCACGTTCTTGAATACGTAAAGCGGAACGGCGGAGTCGAATGGGAACTCCTCGTAGCCGCGAATCAGGCGGGCGCGCCAATCGGGGGCGAGACGCAGACACGGGATCTTGGTAAAGGCGGAGTATAGGTATTTCAGGTCGGCCTGGATGGCAGCCTTCTGCCGCTCAGTTCTGGCGGCAGAAATACTGGCCCCGATACCGAAGCTTTGCCACAGGGCCGACATGCCGGACATGACGCTCCGGACACTAGATACGGAGTGTATCGAGCCAACATCGGAGCCGCGGCTCTTGGAACGTTGGGTATTGCTAAGGAATGAAACGTAGTTGGCAGATGTAGAGCTGTCGTGGAGGTTCTCGAGACGAATCTTCATAGGGCCAACGGGGATGGCGAGTTCTTCGAATCGGGAGAGTAGGTAAAACAAGTGGTGAGGCGTCAAGGCCAGCTTTGCCGACTTGACATTGTGCGAAGTGAAGCTCAGAGAGCCGAGCGATAGAGCGGACGCGAGACCGCTCGAGGTGGAGGCCGACGTCGATGGGCGCTCGGGAACGACCGGAGACTGCGGCGTCGGCAGAGAGCTGACGCTGTGAGAGGGGCCATGGCGGGCAGTCTGTCTTCGAAATTGTAAGGCGTTGGCAAGAGCCTTTTCGTGCGTGCGCACGAAGCTGGCCAGTTGCTGCAGAGATATCGTGAGCAAACCCGTACATAGAGCCGGCGGCGCGACGCGGAGAGCGGCGATAAGGCGAAAGAATGACAAACATACCTTGATGAACAACTCCCCGTCTTCGGAATCCATGTTTAAGGACGCATCAGGGGCAGCCGAGGTAACAGGGTATAGGGTATCTGGTTCAGAAAGGAGGGAACGGCGGATATCGGCGCCTGATATGGGTCCAAGGAGATATCTTTCGACTCTTGTACCAGATTTTACTGCGGAGTCGGACGACGGGAGTTCGTTGGTATGACCGGTTCTACGGCAGACTAGTGGAACGAGGGTTAGTATGCTGATATTGCTGCTGCGTGGCTGGGCGTTAAGTGAGGTGACTGTGACTGCTGGGATATCTGCAACGGGGTTTCTAATGGATGAGGGAGGCGCCGTTGCGACACTTCGCCGGGCAGCACAGTCGGGATGACAGAGGAGACTCGTGAGAGGGGCCACGAGTGAAGTATCCCGTTGCAGATGCTGCAGGGCCCGTTCGTCTCACAACGCAGGAATCCAGAGGGGAGGACAAGAGGCCGAGGGTGAGGGCGGGGAATGTGAGGTGTGTCGAGGTGAGAAAACACGGGGGAGCCGATGCTGGTGAGTAGTGATAGACAATACAGGCAAACAGCACAGGCAGACGTGTATACATGACAGACAGGGGCGCGCAAATGTGCAGAGGCGAATGTTCACCTCGTCCCTCGAGAAGAAGGCATCGAGATAAGCAGGCAACGGGGGAATGCAGGAGTCACGGGTGCGAGGCGAAATGCTGGGCAAAAGGCAAGAAAGGCAGTTGTGACGGGACCGTGGTGCTGGTTTTGATCTGTTTCCCTCTTGTTTCTGAACGTAAAGCAGGCAAGGCAAAAAAGGCAAACCATGCTGAACAGAGAGAAGACTCACCCTTTGGTGTTGTGATGGAGAGAAGCAACACAGCGAACAGTGGTTCTCTATCTCGCGGGACTCGATGTCCTGGTGCTGGGTCGAGCGGAGGAGATTGTGAGATATCGATATCGGTGTCGATGGTCGTCGTCGTCGCAGCGAAGGACGAGTCGAGTCGGGACGATAAGGGTGAGAGGAGGCTCTGGGAGGAAGGAGGAGGTTTTTTTTCGAAGGAGTCGAGGATCGAGGAAGCTATTTCCAAACTCCTCTTCGACAACAACTCTGCACGACACAGAGAAAGGAGTGTGAAGGGAAAGGGTCTTTCTTAGATCGAGGGGGGTGGTCGGACGGGGTCCGGGTTTAATAATAACAAATGGTCGCCAACCTGCCTCTTCTCTACTGCTGGGAAGGGAAAAAAAAAGCAGGAGGGAGGTGTACTATGGTACTGGGGGGGGAGACGAGAGAGTACCGCTCTACCCACGCACCACCCAGCAGCACCCAAGCACCCAGGGCAAGCACACCTCGTCCATGGATGGTGGACGGGGGGACTGGGTACCTTAGTGGACGGTGCGCACACATGGTTACCGGCCAGCCAAATGGAAGGCAGCGCCAGGCCACCCACCCACACCAACACCACACCCGGGCATCATTCACATCCACACCCACACCTCACCTCTCGGGGTTCTTCCTCTCTCTTCTCTTCCCATCTTTTGCTGCCGCGTACTACTACGTATGGTACAGATGGATGGATGCTGAAGTGTTGCGTACGGATACCAAGGTATCCACACCCTGCAGCAGAGAAAGAGGCCAGCAGCCAGCCTTCCATGACGGGTGACCAGACCCTGCACCAAACATCCTGGCTGGATATGGGATACCGACTTTGGATGATGGACGATATCCGTACGATGGAGAAGAGTGCCGTCGCCCACTCCAGAACCCACAGGAAGAGACAGGCTTCACATTCACATTCACAGTTCAAGGGCACCCTGACCCTGTCGAAGCTGACTGGCATACCCCCAGCACCGACCCTGAAAGTGCGAGCAGGCATCATGCTTTAGTCGACCCTGTATCCTTCCATTAAGAGCGCCAAGGAGTTTTCGCCAGCGGCTGCAGCGAGAGCAAGAGAAACCAGCCGCCAACACTCGCGGTCACTCGAAAATCGGTTGAAGGAACTCGAACTCGCACGAGAGAGACAGACCAGACCAGACGCACCGCGATTAGCAGCTAGGGACACCCCTGCTTCTACCTAGCCGGCGGGTCGGTCGCTGATAACAGACCTGAGCTGAGCGAACAGAGGAAGTGTGCTCTCCCGTCTGTTGGAGACGTTGAAAGTACCGGGTACATTCACAGAATATGCGAGATGGGCCCTTTCCATTTCGAATGCACCATCGTCTTTTTTTTTTTTTTTATTTTTTTTTTTTTTTTATTTTTTTTAAACCCTGCTGTTGGTTGTTGGTTGAGGTGAGATGGAAAGAGCAAGAGACGACACTTCACTGACAGAAACAGGCAGGAAGGATATGACAGAATGCGGCAGGCGCATCGCAGCAGCAGGAGGCAGGAGCGAGCATCGTGAGTTTCTGTCCTTCCTTCCCCAAAAGTCTCAACCCCCCGGGGTCTCAGCCAATAATTGATCGCAGAGACATGCTGCAGTCTGCAGTCTGCGGTCTGCGGTATGAGGTCTGCATGTGCTCTCTCTTGCATCTTCCGGCTGTTTCTGTTTCTGTTTGTCTCTGTCGCCATTCCAGTCATTCATCCATTCATCTCATTTCGACTCCTGCTGCAAGTGCAAGTGCGACTGCGACTCCTGCACCTCTGTTTGACTTGCACCTTTTAGACGTGCATCGCAACCGCAGCATGCGGCGGCGCCACACTTTCTGTTGTATTTCGTTTGATTTTTGATTTTTGATTTTTGACTTTTGGTTTTTGGTTTTTTGACTTGGATTGATGATTCTGCGCCCCCGGTCTCATCCTCTCTCATCCATGGCCTGTCCTATTGTTCATCCCCATCCGCCTCTTGTCTCTCAATCTCGTCTCTCCTGCCCCGTATTCCATCCCCCGGCCTCCCGACTGCCCCCGACCATCGTGTGCCGACGACTCGACAAGAGCCCACTGTCTCGACTCGGTCATGATGCCGCACCATCTCCACGCCCCGAACCCGCCCCCCGTCCGCCGGCTCCTCTCTTGTCCCCTATTTCCCACATACCATGCCCGAAAACACCCAGAAACATAAGATGAGATGCACGTGTGTTTGACGACGCGTTATCGTATTCCAGATAATCGATATGACGGGCTCCAGACAGAGAGCTACATAAGCGTCTAATCCGTCCACCACTCCGGCGCACGGCCGGATCGTCGACGAGCCCCTACCTCCTGTTTTTTTCTACCCTTCCTTTCCTTTTTTGACTGTTGCTAAGTAATTCTCCGTGTGGCAGCACACATCAAAACAGTCAAAACAGCCACCGTGTTGCGCGAGCGGTAGCTGGGCGACGACAGTTCCATTGGGTGTGCGCTGCGTTGCGGGCGCGGTCGATCGTCAGATGACACGGCCGGCGCCATCAGGAGGAATGGAACGCTTGCGAACATGAACGATTGTTCGCTGCGCGCTATCTCACTGACAAAGTCGATGTGGTGGTCGACCGTCAACCTGTGTGGTCACTGAACAATAGCCGGGAGGTGCGCAACATGAGCAAAGTCCTGGGTACTCTGTACCTCCAACCCTTCAAGACCCTCGCCCGTTTGTCGCCGAGATTTCGGGGGGGGTGCGAGGAAGGGTCGACCGACCAGCGACCCTGGCTTGCGGATGGGGCTTGCGCTTGGCTCCAAAGGTGTGACAAGCGACGAGCAGCAACGGCGGGAAAAAAAAGAGGCAGGCAAGTCAAAATACAACACTGGCTGTCAGGTCAGATTCGGTGTCTCGATATCGATATCAATATCAAATTGTCGTGTGCTCTCGTTTCCGCCGCCGCCTATCAGCCGACGCCGACGGGAGTCTCATTTCCCCTCGCCCATGCCTCTGGAATTCGTCAAAACAACAAGAACAAGCAACAGTCCGGATGGATGCTCTGGGGGCGCCGGCCTTCATTCCTCACACACGAGACAATCACATCATCGCGACCCCATCCGGATCCAGCGCATTGGGAAGGCCGGGTCACACACAGTCCACTGGCAGATAACAAGTCGAGCATCGGCATCAACATGAGCAGAAGCGAGCAAAAGCCAATTCGTTGCCCCGACTCGTTCGGCGTCGGGTCCGGCTGGTCTGGTGTGCATTTCCACCCCATTTTGTTCATGCGAGCTAGCATCAAGGGTGTCCCGAGCGAGTCCAACCGCTGCCATTTTCTTTTGTTTACACATGGCAGTCGTTGTTTTTGTTGACGGGTTGCCCGTTGCTGCGTCCATCAGTCTGGTGCTTATTCTCCGCGGGAGACGGGTCGTCCGAAGGCTTTTCTGCCATCTACTACTGCGTGGTACTCCGTACATAGCGCAGCCCGGCAACTCAGTACTCAGTCTCGAAGCCAGCCGGCCCCGGGGAAATGGTCAAGGGCGTGGGGAAGAGGGAAGAGCCAAGCCCGCAGAGTCCACGGGCCGTTGATAACGCATTCCAGCGGCCACCGTCGAGTCGTCATGCGCAGGACATTACCGTAATGCCGTTGCCCGTTGCGAATAGTCTGATTACGCCATGTTGTCGGACACCTGGGGGCTCCACGTTGGCAATGCGAACCGATGCAGCATGATGCCATCCCAAGTCGTCGGGTGCATGTTGCTCCTCATGAGGCTGCTCCTCATCGTCATCCGACGCGACGACAACTCACGACGAACAGCGGCAGGACCAATCAGCCGCGCCCCGGGGCCCAGCGCGATGGATGAGGAAGCACTCTGCCTGCGGCTGTACTTCGTACATGAGGTGCGTTGCGGATATGTGCGGCATTAGGTTGAGGGCCAATGGCTTGGTGAATACCATAGTAGGTCCCCCAGGCTGGTCATGGTCTGAAGTCCGTATTGGCGCGTCCCGGTCAAATATCGAATGCCGGCGACGGATCATCAATAGCGCAGTCTGCAAAAGCAAAGCATCGGTGCAAGTAAAATTGCAGCGCGGTGATGGATCATGGACCAAGATGCCGGCATGGATTGTCACGGTGCAACCCGAGAGACATTGGAGAGATTGGAGCGTGGCGGAGAGATCAATTTCGTCTTTTCATCGCCTGTTTCGCCTGTCTGTC